ACTTGGTTAAAGGAAAAAAACTTTCTGAACAAACATGTTATTGATCCTGACCTGGCATCTCAGATTCCATCACTTTCCCACCTCCATAACACAGCTTCCCTGTGTCCTTACTATAAATATTTTTATGGTAATTGTTCTGATGAACTTTTATCTATGGCACCAAGATTTTATGAATTAAAGTGCAGCACCAGATTGGCAGCAAGATCCAATCATTTTATAATTAAAATGGCTAGATGTAACCATAACTTCCATGCTAACAGTTACTTCTCTCACACTTCTCGCTTGTGGAACTCTTTTCCAGCTACTTACTTTCCAGACAACTTTGATCTTCAAAACTTAAATACAATGTCAATCATTATCTTCTTAATTCCTGTTCTTTTATTGTTTGCTCTCTTTAATGTTTTCATTTTCTCATATTCTTTCACATACAGTAACCCCTTGCGTCTTAGTGGCTCTATTGCTTTGCTTGGGTGAAATGATTAAAAAACATTAAGAAAACCAATAACAATTTCTTTTTTAATATCCAAATAATGACAACCTACAAGTAGTGGTGACATTTTTCCTAAGAAATTCAAACACTGCTTTAAATATTTTCTCAAACAAAATTGTTAACTCTTATAGAAAATAAAAATCACTCCGGACTGAAAAAAAAGTTTTATCTAAAAGTTTCAACATAGAAACTCATTCAAAAGGACCTGAATAAATACAAATGGGAGGTAAGCTGGTTTTGCAGAGAATTAAGATAATGCAATATCAAGTGACATCTACAGATGCCTTGATCTATTCTCCGTTCTTTTCATCCTTTCCTCTACCATGCCTCTTTATTCTTGCTCCCACTTTCTGTAACCCCTTGTGTGCTAGTGGCACTCCCGCCTTGCTTGGGGTGAAAAGCTTAAAAAAAAAAAAAAAAAATAAAATAAAATAATATGCAAAGCATAGAGATCTGATGATCTTAGTACAATACAAGGTCAAAACTTGAGGCACTTAGTGAAGATCAAACTCACTATAATAGTAATGATCAGCACAATTGATCTACTCTACTGCAGGTGCTCATCGTAACTCAAATATATGAAATAAATAAAACAGTATGTGCATTTCAAAAGTTGGATTAGACAATATAGCACAAGGACAATAGGAAAAAACAAAATTAACTGTAAATTGGCTTTCTTGGTTTGTACCCTTTACAAATAACTATATTCTTAGAAAAAAGAACATTCTTTTTTTGAGGTATTAAAAAGCAAGCTAATAAAAGAGAGCTGAAAAGTTATCAACCTGATTGCCTTTCAAAAATTGGTGTTTCAATAAGAAAACATCAAAATTTCTTTTGGCAATGTAAAAGATTGAGTAACAATGTACAACACATGTCAAATCACATGGTGTGGAATAGCATTTATATTTTGTGTCTAAAGAACATTGTTCTTGGTTTGTTGAAGAGAAATTTCCAGAACCAGCTCTTGAATACAGAAATGAATATCAAAGGCTGTTGAAGCCAGATTAAATGTTCTATTGTCTTGAAAAAAGTAAAAGTGAGGTAGCATTTAACATCTGGACAGTTAGCAATGAAAACTCACAGAGGTTTCGTAGAATGCTTCAGGTAATTTCAACAGACACTTGAGATGAAAAAGAAAATCATCTTTTATTTTAGAAGCCTCTAAGGAAAATGTTGGTTGGGGAGAGGAATAGAAAAGGAAAGTAAAAAAGCCATGTGGATGTAATTACGAATATTAACAATTTGGATGTGTGCAGGAAATAAAAGCAAAAATGAAATGTTTGAAGATTAACATGGCCAAAGATCACAAAGAGAAATAGGGACTTTTGATAAAATGCTAGTCACAGTAAGCCAACTTGTTTTCAGACCAAAAGATGAGAAAAAAATGGTGGGTGGTGGTGAAAATAAGGAAACATGAAAGCAAGTGGGGGGGACACACCATCAGTTCAAAAATTGTATATAAATCGCCAGAATATATATTTTGGAAAACATTAGTTAGAGAAGGTGCAATGAGTAATTTTCCTGGAGGTTAGCATCAGCCATGACAATGGAAAGCAAAAAAAGTCAATTAAAAGAGAGCAGTTTCATTTTGGAGGTGTTAAAATTAACAAGCCATTTTTTGCCCCAATTAACAACAGATTGAAGGCCAGTTTTTAGATCAGCTGTCAATTTATCTTTATCAGAACCAATCAGACTTACCATTAAGACAGGAGCAGATAGTTATAATCAGCATAGACACCGAGTTGAGACCTGATGACATAACCTTTTAACTTGTGAAGATGACAGCATGCCAACCCTGTCAAATTGCCAAAGCAACAGCCAGAGCATCACATTTCTTATCTAAAGCTTGATAGACTTTCAGCAATAATCATTAACAGATGACCTAGAGTAACAAAAGCCATATTGATCAACTGAGAGATGACCCCTGCGAGGTGAGATGCTTAACCAATTCAGAATTGATTAGTGCCTCTAGTACTTTAAGGATCAGATGGTTCACCAGAGTTCTTAAAAACAGGAACTACAGAAGAAAATTTCCAATGAGCAGGAAAAGCAAAAGCAGTAAGGCATTTATTGTAGTGTTTAGATAGAACAAGAACCAGTGTGGGAGCTCATTTCTTAAACACTATTGCAAGGATACTATCAAGTTCACATGTTTTGTGGGAATCCAGTTTAAAGATGATAGCAGAAATCAAAGACAGAGTTATATGAATAACATTCAATAGAGATTCAGTTCCAAATGAAAAATCAGGCAAAGATATTCCAGATGAGTCAAGAATAGAATTGGAAGAGAATTTACAAACAAAACATTCTGCTTTATCAGTAGATGTTAACACCTCAAAATGAGTAAAGAGAGGACTGATAGAAGACTTACTCTTATTTAACACACTATTACAGAGCTGCCAGTAGTCAAGAGAACCAAAATTGTTACACATTATAACATGTCATTCTGTCAGCAAAGAAAGACTTAGAATCTTTGAGGACATGTTTTCAATTATTATAAGCATACAAAAAGGCATCTGTTGTGATCGGAACTATCACATTGATACAGTCAGAGAAAGTGATTTCTGTGGGCTATAGTGACTGAACAGGTAGATGTGAAATCAGAAGATTCTGGTTTCGCCTGGTATTTCTGAGAAGGTACAAAAGCATTGATGCCACCTTTTACCCAAGAAGAAATTTGCATGATATTTCTCATAATTTGCATAAGTTATAATAGACATGTTATATAAAATCACAATGTATCCCAAGTAAAACAAGACAATTTTAAAAGAGGACTAAACTTATAACCAAATTGAATTACTTGCCAATTTCAGTTTTATTTTATACAAATTTAATTCACCAAAATATATAGCAGAACTGTTTGAAAAACCATCTCTTTTTATGGCAGTTCTTTATCTAGCGTTAGAAACTTCATCTAGTGTTGGTCAATTATATAACATTACTTCAGTTTAGAGAAAGAAAGAAGAGAAAATACAGAGAGAGAGAGAGAGAGAGAAAGAAAGAAGAGAAAATACAGAGAGAGAGAGAGAGAGAGAAAGAAAGAAGAGAAAATACAGAGAGAGAGAGAAAGAAAGAGAGAAAATACAGAGAGAGAAAGAAAGAAAGAGAAAATACAGAGAGAGAGAGAAAGAAAGAGAGAAAATACAGAGAGAGAGAGAAAGAAAGAGAGAAAATACAGAGAGAGAGAGAGAGAGAAGAGAAAATACAGAGAGAGAGAGAGAGAAGAGAAAATACAGAGAGAGAGAGAGAGAAGTATAGAGAAAATACAGAGAGAGAGAGAGAGAAGTATAGAGAAAATACAGAGAGAGAGAGAGAGAGAGATAGAGAAAATACAGAGAGAGAGAGAGAGAGAGAGAAAATACAGAGAGAGAGAGAGAGAAAAGAGAAAATAGAGAAGAGAGAGAGAGAGAAGAGAAAAAAAGTAGAGAGAGAGAGAAGAGAAATTTAGAGAGAGAGAAAAGAGAGAGAAAGAGAGAATTTAGAGAGAGAGAAAAAAGAGAATTTGAGAGAGAGAGAGAAAAGAGAATTTAGAGAGAGAGAGAGAAGAGAAAATACAGAGAGAGAGAGAGAAGAGAAAATACAGAGAGAGAGAGAGAAGAGAAAATACAGAGAGAGAGAGAGAAGAGAAAATACAGAGAGAGAGAGAGAAGAGAAAATACAGAGAGAGAGAGAGAAGAGAAAATACAGAGAGAGAGAGAAGAAAAATATGAGAGAGAGAGAGAGAAGAGAAAATACAGAGAGAGAGAGAGAAGAGAAAATACAGAGAGAGAGAGAGAAGAGAAAATACAGAGAGAGAGAGAGAAAAGAGAGAATACAGAGAGAGAGAGAGAAAAGAGAGAATATAGAGAGAGAGAGAAAAAAGAGAGAAAAGAGAGAGAGAAGAAAAGAGAGAGAGAGAGAGAGAGAAAAGAGAGAATTTAGAGAGAGAGAGAAAAGAGAGAATTTAGAGAGAGAGAGAGAAAAGAGAGAATTTAGAGAGAGAGAAAGAAAAGAGAGAATTTAGAGAGAGAGAAAGAAAAGAGAATTTAGAGAGAGAGAGAGAAAAGAGAGAATTTAGAGAGAGAGAGAAAAGAGAGAATTTAGAGAGATTTGAAAAGAGAATTTAGAGAGAGAGAGAAAAGAGAATTTAGAGAGAGAGAGAAAAGAGAGAATTTAGAGAGAGAGAGAAAAGAGAATTTAGAGAGAGAGAGAGAAAAGAGAATTTAGAGAGAGAGAGAGAAAAAAGAGAATTTAGAGAGAGAGAGAGAAAAAGAGAATTCCAGAGAGAGAGAGAGAAAAAGAGAATTTAGAGAGAGAGAAAAAAAGAGAATTTAGAGAGAGAGAGAAAAGAGAATTTAGAGAGAGAGAGAGAAAAAAGAGAATTTAGAGAGAGAGAGAGAAAAAAGAGAATTTAGAGAGAGAGAGAGAGAGAAAAGAGAATTTAGAGAGAGAGAGAGAGAAAAGAGAATTTAGAGAGAGAGAGAGAGAAAGAAAAGAGAGAATTTAGAGAGAGAGAGAGAAAAGAGATAATTTAGAGAGAGAAAAGAGAGAATTGAGAGAGAGAGAGTGAGAGAATTGAGAGAGAGAGAGTGAGAGAATTGAGAGAGAGAGAGAGATTGAGAGAGAGAAGAGAGAATTGAGAGAGAGAGAGAGAGAATTGAGAGAGAGAATTGAGAGAGAGAGAGAAGAGAGAGAAGAAGAGAGAGAGAATTGAGAGAGAGAGAATTGAGAGAGAGAGAGTGAGAGAATTGAGAGAGAGAGAATTGAGAGAGAGAGAATTGAGAGAGAGAGAATTGAGAGAGAGAGAATTGAGAGAGAGAGAATTGAGAGAGAGAGAATTGAGAGAGAGAGAATTGAGAGAGAGAGAATTGAGAGAGAGAGAGAATTGAGAGAGAGAAGAGACAATGCCGAGAGAGAGAAAAGAGACAAGAGAGAGAAGAGAAAGAGAGAATGCCGAGGAGAGAGAGAGACAATTGAGAGAGAGAGAGAATTGAGAGAGAGAAAAGAGAGAATGCCGAGTGAGAGAGAAAAAGAGAGAAGAGAGAGAGAAAAGAGACAATGCCGAAAGTGAGAGAGAAAAGAGACAATGCCGAGGAGAGAGAAAAAGAGACAATGAAGAGAGAAAAGAGACAATGCCCAAATGAGAGAGAAAAGACAATGCCGATAGAGAGAGAAAAGAGACAATGCCAGTGAGAGAGAAAAGAGACAATGCCGGAGAGAGAGAGAAAAGAGACAATGCGAGTGAGAGAAAAGAGACAAAAGAGAGAGAAAAGAGACAATGCCGAGTGAGAGAGAAAAGAGACAATGCCGAGTGAGAGAGAAAAGAGACAATGCCGAGTGAGAGAGAAAAGAGACAATGCCGAGTGAGAGAGAAAAGAGACAATGCCGAGTGAGAGAGAAAAGAGACAATGCCAGTGAGAGAGAAGAGACAAAAGAGAGAAAAAGAGACAATGCCGAGTGAGAGAGAAAAGAGACAATGCCGAGTGAGAGAGAAAAGAGACAATGCCGAGTGAGAGAGAAAAGAGACAATGCCGAGTGAGAGAGAAAAGAGACAATGAGAGAGAGAGAAAAAGAGACAATGCCAGTGAGAGAGAAAAGAGACAAAGAGTGAGAGAGAAAAGAGAGAATGCCGAAGAGAGAAAAAAGACAATGCAGAGACAGAGAGAAGAGAGACAATGAAGGAGAGAGAAATGCGAGAGAGAGAGAAAAGAGACAATGCCAGTGAGAGAGAAAAGAGACAAGTGAGAGAAAATGACAATGCAGAGAGAGAGAAAAGAGACAATGCCAGTGAGAGAGAAAAGAGACAATGCAGTGAGAGAGAAAGAGACAATGCCGAGTGAGAGAGAAAAGAGACAATGAGTGAGAGAGAAAAAGACAATGAGTGAGAGAAAAGAGAGAACAGAGAGAAAAAAAGAGAATGCAGAGACAGAGAGAAAAGAGAGAATGCAGAGACAGAGAGAAAAGAGAGAATGCAGAGACAGAGAGAAAAGAGAGAATGCAGAGACAGAGAGAAAATCTGGATGATTAATGAAATCTTATTCATAGCAGCAATCACAACTATTTCATTATGTCATTAAATTTTTATAAAAGAATTAAAAAATAATGCAACATCTATATTCACACTATCCTTAATAACTAGACACAACCAGTAAATAGTAAAAGAAAGTTTTAGTTTGGTTTCTCAGTGTACTTTATTACCTTAAACTCAACCATTTCATACAAACCTGATACCATATTGCTTAACTAAAATGACAAAATAACTCCTATTTAATTCCCTTTATTTAATGTTTTGCACAACCACAAAAAAATTGCCAGTGTGGAACTTCCTAGAATCAAACAAGTTAATCTAGTCCAGCCCCTTGCCATATGGAATCATCATATTGGATCGACTATGTACAGCATTTTTATCATTTTTTAATGAGGTGCAGAAATAAGAAAATCCCACAAAGACCAATAATACTTGCACTATAAATTTTATCCTTAATCAACCACTACTGTTTCCTGAAAATGTGCTCAACCATGACATGCCCTCTACTTGAAACTTCCTCCTGACTAACTAAGTTGTTCTAGTGTGTAAATTATTTTTGTACACCTGGAAATAATAACATTACTCATAACTTAATGTTATTAAGTTGTGTAGAAAAGCTGAATAAAAAGCTCATCTAAGAACCCTTATAAAGCAAATTATGTGTATGTATGTATGTGCGGTTGACAGATTTTTCAATTTTTTTTTCTTTATATTCCAAAAATCTGTGTGTGATTGTTTTTTCTTCATATTTCAAAATTGGGAGCTAACAGATTTCAATTTCCATGAAAAACATACACAATCCATAAATGTTCATGCATCTGTTTATAACAACACACTAACAAGCCATTTTTAAAATTTGGTTAACTACACAAAAGCTTTGGTATTTCCAAATCTGTGAATAACAAAAGATGAAAAAGAAACGTACAATTTACTGATGTTTAAATGAATCAAGATTGGCATTTGCTGTATTCGTTTTATACAAAAATGAAAATGCTATCTTTGAACTGTAGTTAATCCATTAACTTCAACAGAAATTTCTCTGAATCACTGATGAATCCTGGAATTGCAATGGCCAAAATTACAGTGACCTGCAGTTAAAAAAAAACAAAACATTAATGCCATATTTTTACTTATGCAGTAAAATCAACCAACCTCTCACAAGATATTTAAAGACTGACTGCATATTAAATGTTTAACAAATAATTTAACCTTTAGTTTTCTTGTCCCTTTGGTTTGTTGTTTTTTTTTTTTTTAACATTTTCCTAGCTTAAAAGACAATAAAAAGATAAGAGTCATAAGAATCCTTTAAGCCACTTATTTCTCATATTTGGTTTTACTGTTTTTGAGATTCCATACTTTTTTGTGTCAATCTTTATGTTCTATGCTATGTGGTTGATAAGCAGAGTATGATTACATAAAATATAAATGAATAAATTTGATAATATTAAATTGCATTCAAACACACTAATACACTGGGTATCATAGTGAAAAAAAAAACATTAATACACTGGGTATCATAGTGAATCAACACACTAACATTTTCAAATTACATGCTTAAAGAAAATACATTTAAGGTTTTAAAGAATATGCAATAAAACCCCAATTTTATGAACCCCTGATTCAATTCAGATATAATTTGATAGTTCAGAGTTAACTAATTTTTTTTTTGCTAGCATAATGCCATGGTCTTTGATAAAATGTCACAGATCTCAATAATCATATTATAGTATGGTCATACCATATGAAGAATTTAAACTTATATCACAATAATCCTTTTACTAAAACTGATTCTGAGAGAATTTAAATTTCTCTTAAACTTATTATATTTCAGTATCTTCACTTGCAACATCTGTTATATACAACTAACGATCATCTCACAGATCATATACTGGTTGAGAGAGTTCAATATTCTCTTGGTGCTTGCGGCATTGTGTCAGACTAAACCAAGTTAAGGAAACATCTATATCATTTACCATAAATTCAAAACAATTAAGTGGGATTAAGTGTCTGACCAACTTCTAATATGAATTAATATTCTGTCTCAAATTAGATTATAAATTAACAGCAAAATAGAATAAACTCAAACCAATCAGCTCCATTTTCTTAAAAAAATTATATATATATATATATATATATATATATATATATATATATATATAAATAAATGTCCGAGTTTGATAAACTGACTCCATATTGAATATTGGGATTCAGTACTTTTGTATCTGTCTTCACTCACTATGCCATTTTGTGGCTAAATTGAGCCTGGCTGAAATAAAAACAAAATATCAAAAAATGTCTTAGAATTACATTCATAAATAAAAGTCTATATGGGTAAATTTGATCTTCTGCCTATCATAAGGCAGCTGTCATCCATTGACAGGATTCCCAAGATATCTCCCACCCTACCCCAATGTAACTTAGTCTCCCCAGGAGACTATCAGTGATGTTTACTGATAGCCATAGACCAACAGTGTGAATAGCCGTGATGAAAAGTAACTAAAATTTAGATGAAAGAAATATTAGTCAAAAATTTAAAATGATTCAAAACTTCTTTTCTAACAATCTATTCTCATGTAGCTTATTGCTGCTGAGTCCATATATTAAACATTTTATTCTAAAGAATGAAACCAACATTTTTTTTCTTGAATACATTATTTTGACTTAAGATGCAGACCTTGGCAATTTTTGTCAGTTACCAAAATACAGAGCCTTTTGGTATCTTGAAACACCCACATGAAATCTTTGTTATTTACCCAAATTAAGTTTTTGTTCAGCAAAGTAGCCTCTGTTTGGCTCTAGCTTAAATCTTCAATAAACAAAACCAAAATGAAATTGTTCTTTCTTCTTTTATTTCAACGCTTCTACGTCAATTTTAAACATAATATAGAATTGCGTATTCTAGAGAAGAGAAACAAAAAACGAAAACCACAGTAATGTTAATAGAAGTAGCAAAAACTGGGACTAAAGTTAATGTAAAAGCAAATAGTCTATTTTGTAACCCATCCCAAAATGGGAATAATTATTTAATTATTTTTTGCTGAAGACCTTTAAAAGATGTAAGAAGTGCTTATTCTGAATAAAGTGCATTTCATCTCTGATGTTGTGTAAACCTCTGAATAGGGGTTTCCCTGCCACCCCTCCATCTATAAAGCTAACTGGTTACGCTTTTAGAAATCATTAGTAGCAAGACAAAACATCTGCTTCCAAAGGCAAAATGACAAACCCACTACCACAAGATGACCTGTGCTATTTGGCCAACAGGGCAAAAGTAGATTTTCTCAGCTGAAATATATACAATTTCTAATTGCTTTTAACAAACAGCATCAAAGTTCAGCCTTTATAAGTACAAGGCTTGAGGGCTTATCCTTATAAGAAAGCTCCCAATAAGTTTAATTGCCATCATGAAGAACAAAATTGTAAGGAATCTATAAGTAGATTTTTGGCGTTAGAAATATGAGCCACTCAATAAAAAAAGTAAACTTCACTGTCTTGTCACGAAAAAATGGTTAATAAACACACAGCCTATTACAACTATTGCACTTTAAATTCTCAGTGGGTGTCCCTTTTCTCATTAGATTGTGCCCAACTAAACTTATTAAATATTAGACTTTCTTGGCCGAGTTGTTTTTTTTTTTTTTAATCATTTCACCCCAAGCAAGGCGATAATGCCACTAAGACTCAAGGAATTACTTGGATTGACTGAGAATGAAAAGACTTTGAGGAGAAATGAGGAAAAGGACAATAAAGGAAGAGAATTCAAAAACACAGAAGATGGCGATTGATGTTGCATTTAAATTTTTGAAGACTGTAGGTGGCAAATGTTTTCCTTAATATTCAGCAAGTGGCAAGTTAATTTTTTCATAATTAATCAAGTAGCTTTTGAATATCTATGTTAAATAACTACAAAGAGTTTCCAGTTTTAACCATAATATTTGAATGAATTACAAGCACATGTCCATAAAAATAAAGACTGTAGTGTAAAGATCAAAGTCAACTTGTTGTTCATGTGAAAAATAGTTGAAGAGGAGAGTTAGACCGATTATATATTAAAAGATTATACTGATGATAATAAAAATTATACCTATTTTTGTATAATCATTTCACCTCAAGAAAAGTGATAATGCCACTAGGATGCAAGGGGTTACTGAGAGTGAAAGAGAATGAAAAGACTTTAGTGAGGGGAAATGAGGAAAAGGACAATGAAGGAACAGAATTCAAAAACACAGAAATGGCGATTGATGTTGCATTTAAATTTTTGAAGATTGTAGTGAAACGAGAAATCAGAAGGAAAATCCACAGGCAAGAAGTGCAAAAAAAGAAACTAGGAGACTACAACATATGATTAAGTCTAGCTCATTCATCAGTAAAACGGTGAGACCTAGTTTCCACTCTAATAACACACCAAGGAGGAAAGCTCATCAAAACAATTGCCATAAAACTAAAAATATTAGTAGAAAGACCAGAGGAAGCCACATCATGTTAGTGAAAAAGTAACTTAAGTCGAGATGCCAGGTCAGGAATGTGTACATTACAGACTTAGTTTTGCACTTTCTATTAGTGCCAATGGTTAGTGTCAGAGCTCAGGTTAAAAAAAAAAAAAAAAAGTTGACCCCCCCCTTACATGAAATATTGTTGCACTAATCTTTCTAGATGCATTTCTCTATCCCTCCTAAACAGTGTGGAGAACAAAGTTAGGCATACTCACAAAACAATTATTGGCCCTAACTGTAGATGACAAGGATTTCTATCATTGCATTTCTATGGATCAACTATGGAAAATGATAGAAATCTCTGCTGCAGTTAATGGGTTACATAACCTGCAAAACAATAAAACTAGAGAATCAACTCAAGATGCCATGGGAATTCACAGATAAGAATAATAAAGAAAAGGAATCTGTGGAAAACTATGATTGCTTATGTCCTGAAGGGACCTGGAGTTAAGAAGATTCCAAATCAGCCCAATTCTACAAACTAGTTCTACTTTGGGGAAAACTTGGCACTCACATAAATTACCT